CACACACACACGTGATTTGGCATAGTCCTGCAGCAGTGTTTCTGCTATAGAGCTGCAGGCAAGTGGTTAATATTTGAAGACTGCCACTTGGATGCATTATGGGGAGACTCTTAAGTTTGCAAGTGAAGAGAAGAGACAAGCTCAGGCATCTTCTGATCTCCTCCCTCCCAAACTCCTGCTTTTTGTACTCTAATGAAAAAGGTGGAGTTCGGATTAGAAAGGAGCCTAGAGGATCTCCAGAGAGGAGCAGAGCCCACCTTTCAAAACTCGTTAGTGTATTTACATAATTGAGCTTAGGGGCATACAAATGGTAATTCAAGCACCTTTTGCATTGCAGGACCACTAAAGATTTGTATTAAGGTGCTCCTAGAGCAGCAATGGGCAAACTACGGCCCGGCGGACCTTTTAATCCCGGCCCGCGGAGCTAGGCTCCCGCAAGGCCAGTGGTCGGCAAGCCGCGGCTCTTTACAATAGATGCGGCTCTCCTGTGTGCCGGGCGCCCGCTCCCCTCCCTCCTCTCGGGCGGGCTCAGCGGGCGACCTCCTCTCCTCCTCTCCCCTCCCCTCCTCTCGGATGGCCGCCCCCCTCCCTCCTCTCGGGCGTCAGGACTCTGCAGCTGTCAGGATGTAGGCGGGGCAGCCAGGATGTAGGCTTGGGGCAGCGTGACGAACTCTTCTCTCACAGTCCTCCCTGAAGACCAGAACGGCGCGGGAATACGAGAGGAAACGCGCGGAGGAGCAAAGGTAAGTGAATTGACACAGGGGGGGACTTACTATATGGGGGACTTACTATATGGGGAATGAATTACTATATGGGGGACTTACTATATGGGGAATGAATTACTATATGGAGGACTTACTATATGGGGAATGAATTACTATATGGGGACTTACTATATGGGGGATGAATTACTATATGGGGGTCTTACTATATGGGGAATGAATTACTATATGGGGGACTTACTATATGGGGAATGAATTACTATATGGAGGACTTACTATATGGGGAATGAATTACTATAGAAGCGGGGGACTTACTATATGGGGAATGAATTACTATATGGGGGACTTACTATATGGGGAAATGAATTACTATATGGGGGACTTACTATATGGGGAATGAATTACTATATGGGGGACTTACTTTATGGGGAATGAAATTACTATATGGGGGACTTACTATATGGGAAGAATGAATTACTATATGGGGGACTTACTTTATGGGGAATGAATTACTATATGGGGGGACTTCCTATATGGGGAATGAATTACTATATGGGGACTTACTATATGGGGAATGAATTACTATATGGGGGACTTACTATATGGGGGATGAATTACTATATGGGGGATGAATTACTATATGGGGGATGAATTACTTTATGGGGGATGAATGGGAAAATATGGGGGATGAATTTACTATGTGGGGGATGAATTACTATGTGGGGGATGAATTACTATGTGGGGGATGATAATTACTATATGGGGGATGAATTACTATATGGGGGATGATTACTATGTGGGGGGATGAATTACTATATGGGGGATGAATTACTATATGGGGGATGAATTACTATATGGGGGATGAATTGCTATATGGGGGACGAATTGCTATATGGGGGACGAATTGCTATATGGGGGACTCTTAAATTGCTATATGGGGGACAAATTACTATATGGGGGATGAATTACTATGGGGGATGAATTACTATATGGGGATTAATTACTATGCTTACTATGGGGGAATATTACTATATTACTATGGATGACACATACACATCATTCATTTACTCTTGGTCCGGCCCCGGGTCCAATATATGAACCCATTGCGGCCCTCAAGTCAAAAAGTTTGCCCACCCCTGTCCTAGAGTGTGCAGCAAGGAGTTTACAAAACAGAAGACAACAGATATTGCACTTGCTTTGTAAAGATACAGAATTTATTTTTAGTGTGTGGTCTTAAGACATTTTTCATCCTCGTATAGATTTAAAGTGGTCCATACAGCACTATGCCACATATTAAAAAAACAAAAAATTATAAAATGAAAAACACATACATGCTCCTCTTCTATACTTTTTCCTTGCGTTATGCAAGTGCATTTCTATTAACCACAGATTCAAAAAGAAAAAGTGGACATCTCATTAACTAGTATAATGTGTAAATGCAATTTTGTTAATGTAAAAAAAAAAAAAAAAAGTTTCCAAGTACACACACACACACACACACACACACAGGTGTTTGGACATCTGAATATTTAAAACAAAAAGAAACCCCTTGGAGAATAAAACAACTTAATGCATACAAACAGGAATATGATAAAGATCCAGCTTTTTCAAAATGCAGAAAATCTTGTGTTTTAGCAAGTATTTTTTATGTTACAACAAACACGTAAGATGCATCTTTATACAGATACTCACTACTGTAATCTCCATAGCCATAGTAGTTATATCCAGTGTAGTCATAGTTTCCATATCCTCCATAGCCCTGGTTGTTGTATCCATAACTACTGTAGCTTGGATTCCAGTAAACTACTATATCCCTGGCTCCAGCTCTGGCTTGAGGCTATTGAAACAGTTACCAACATTTTAAAAAAGAGATTAGCAGGTTATTCAGAAATATGACCCATGTTAAGATACATTTTATTTTAATGGCTTAATGCATTAACCTCCTCTTCCTCTGGACCTTGTTGAAGACCCTCCGCCTCTTGATCCCCACTGTTGTTGCTGTTGGTACTGTTCCTTTGAAAGTGCTACTTTAATTTCACACTATGAAGAAAATGAAAAACATATTTAGGGTAAACAGAAGATGCAGACATGCACACATGCACACACCTACTTAATAAAACCCTATTTAACCTTCCATGTATACAAAGGAATGCCTCTCTTTACAGCAAATATGTTTTTCTTTATAAACACATTTAGATACTATTTAATAAAAGGGAATGGACTAAAACTATATACTAAAGTAAAACGAATAGTAATATTCAGTAACTTCTGTCCTGTCCATAATAGTGCAGGCTCCACTTACACAGTACAGAAAGTCACTTTTAAAATGAATGGGTTTTTTTTTTTTGGGGGGGGGGGGGGGTCTCACTGTATCCCAGCAAACAGATGATTTTCAAGGTGGTGGGATTGCTGGACAAACCTAGGCTTCCTGCTCCACCTAATATGTATAAGTACCCACGATGGAGAATAAGTGCATCTACTGTTCTACCTTGGATAAGCCACACTTAAAACGCCTCCGGTTCACTGTACCCCCACAGCGTCCCATGTTCTTTTCCCGCTTGAGCCCAAGTGACCTCAATAGCCTCACAAAAGGCAACTCCAAACCCCCCCCCCCCCCCCCCGCAAGGAGCCTTTAATGGTTTAGAAATTAAAAAGCTGAGTATACATGAGATAGAAAGGTAACAAAGTACAAAAGGTGTACACAAGGGGTCCCAGTTAAAATTTAGAACCATTTTGAATATAAAAAAGGGGAGGGAAAAAAAAAAAAAAAAAAAAAAAAAAAAAAAAACACAGATGGCAAAGAGAATATAGGCATAACTAAAGAGGTAAAGCACAACTCCAGACTTGTCAGTCCCCCTGCCCACCATGGAGCTCCCTGGCAGCAAAGAAAAATACCCACTATACTTACCCTTTTCCAGGTGTCTTTGGTCCAGTCATCACAGGTCCTCTTTCCTCATGTAATGACATGGTACAGCTCACTGCAGCAATCCTATGAGTTGAAGCTACTGAACTCACAGGAACTAGGTTACATGGAGCTGGATGTCATTCAACCCGAAGAGGAGCAGTGCTGGATCAGCTAGTCTGCAGGGGATATAGCTCAGCTGCTAAACTCACACGTTTTTTGGCAGTTTTTTTTTATTTTTAGGCTGCGCTGGGGTCTGGAATATCTGAGTTGGGGTCTGGAATATCTGAATGTACACCCAAGCTGAACTTGGGATTTAAACTGTAGTTTTCGAAATAGGTGGAACATCCTGTCCAGGAATCCACTTTTAGTCCTTGCATATCTAAAACTACTTCTGTTGCATCATGCCAACCTCTGCAAGCCTCTACTGTCTTTTTCCAGGGAGAAACAAGATGTGAACTGACAACTTCCTTTCTGCAAGGAGACTGGATAAGGGCAAGAAAGCTAAGTTGACATGGTCACAGGAAAACTCAAACCTTGAGAATAGACTCAAATGGCAGTACTAAAGTTTTTTTTTGTTTTTTTTACTTTAGGTTTTCCCTCTAATTCAACATACTTTACTTAAGCCAACATTATGGTATTTCTTTTCCATGATTTTTTTCACTGGCTCTTCTTCCGTAAATGTGATGAAACAGAAGCCTCGCCTTTTGTTAGTCTTGTTGTCCATGGGGAGCTCAATTGCTTCAACCTGAAGGATTTGAATTGCATGATGAAAAAATAAAGAGAATTAAATGGTATGTTCATATATCCATGCCTGTTTTAGCTCATCATACTCTTGCCTTTTATCAACTTGTAAAGTAGTCTTTAGAAGAGTAAAATATACCTCCCCAAATGTCCCAAAGTATTCCCTTATTTTCTCTTCTGGTGTGTCTGGCGATAAACCTCCCACAAATATCTTCTTCACTGGTTCCTTTGTCTTCATTGCCTTTGCCCTTTTTGGATCAATGACTTTGCCATTCAGTTTGTGCTCTTTTTGTTCCATCACCTGCAGCAATAACAAGCAGACTAAATGTCACATTCAGATGTAATGAGGAGCACCAGCTGCTATTCATGACAATCTACAGAAAAATCAGAAAAAATGCTTTGTTCTGCAGCACCTAACCAAGGTCCCCCTACTGTGCTACTTCCATTGCTCTCATTTGTCAGGTGTGCACAACAGTCTCGTGTCTTTCAAAGGAACCTGGGTAGATTCTGTTGGCTTTAGCTTGGTAAAGAAATAAAACATCACAACTAGAACCATCCTTGTAGGAGCAGCACACACTTTGATATATTATATTGCGCTTTACAAAACACCCCAAGTAAAAACTATGCAGCTTCTGCCACCTACCCTCAAAAAGGTCAAGAATTGGGAAAGAGAGGAGATAGAAAGAACAGAGGAAATAGGTATACAAGTGAACCTATACGTTATTCATCCCTGTTTATACAAAAAAATTCATGCTTTATCATAATACATAAAATCACAATGGATTTTTTTTTTTTACACTCATTAACAGAAAAGGTTGTTCTATGTGAAAACAGATCTCTGTCCCCTTACTGCAGTCGTCCAGGACACACACGGAAGACTGCAGTCAAGGAAGAAAACAGTGTGTTGATTAGAGCAAAAAGTGAATTTTTTGACCATCAGATTAAAACACAATGCTATTCACTGCAAGTTAGCAAAACACACCATCCCCATCATTCAGGGTTACTGTTCCTGGAGGAAAACCTGATGCAGCCCGCAAAAACCCTGAACTGATAGAAAAGATTTTCTAAAGCAAGACAATGACCCCATGCCTAAAGCAAATATGACACAGGAAGGGCTTTAAAATATATGTGTAAAGCTAATAGACTAATCCAAAACAGACTCCAGGATGCCAAAAGTTCATTCAGGTTTTTTTGGGGGGTTTTTTTTTTTTTTTAGTACTTGTGTAACATTCTAAAATATTCAGTACCGGTTTACACTCCACATCACATGGAATTTGTGTGCTGCATTTTCAGCCATACATTTTTCCATGGCTTAAATCGCACAGCACCAAACTTGTGCAGGACCCTTTTTTTGACCGCACCAGAATCGGATCGCATGGGTGCGGATCTGCCCAATGCACCGCGTTTTGTGAACAGATTTCGGGGGTGTCGTTAACATACACACCCACAGCAGTTTGTATGAATGGGGTGCAATTTTGATGCGGTGATCGCACAGAAACTGGTGCGAATTCTGCACTGCATCAGTGTGAACGGGCACTAAATGTTGGGTTTAGTTCAGTATTTTTTTTTCTCTTGGAGGTGGGTTGTCTTTGAGATGTCTTTTTATGATGTATGTGTTTATGGGAGGAAAAAAAAATATTTAATTAAAATATGAAAAGAGTGCATCTACTCAATTAGCACACAAATCTTTGATAGCTAATCATTTCCAAGAGCAAGGATACAAACTTCTGTCTAGGTGGCATAGGGTCCCGGTATATTGAACAAGTTTAACCCCTCAGTCTCCAGTTTGTGTTGGCGGTGTCAGAATGAGGAAGATACTTATCTGCATATCTTCTGGCAATGTTCTTTGCTGACTCAGTTCTGGACGGGGGTGGGGGGGTGAGGAACTTAGTCTTACAGCTGACCTCGGTTGACCTGGGAACAGACCCCTTGGTCTATTTCATCTCAACTCAGTACCGCAACATTACTATAGACCAGTGGTTCTCAACCTTCCTAATGCCGTGACCCTTTAATACAGTTCCTCATGTTGTGGTGACCCCCAACCATAAAATTATTTACCCAGTAATTATAATTCATGAGTGTCGTTTTACCTCCAATACTGCTGCTTTCAACACAGTAGCTGCTTTCAACACAGTAGCTGCTTTCAACACAGCAGCTACTTTCTACACAGCAGCTACTTTCTACACAGCAGCTACTTTCTACACAGTAGCTGCTCTTTACACATCGGAAATATGTGTTTTCTGATGGTCTTAGGGGACCCCCCAAAGGGGTCGCGACCCACAGGTTGAGAACCACTGCTATAGACACTCCCTGACAGTTCATCTTCTGAATGCGGCACGGGCATGCATTCCGGACCTGTGGAAGCAAACCTCTGATTTGCGAAGTTGAATGAAATCAATTCAATGGAAAGGCTGTTTCCCTAAACAAAAGGGAAGACATTTTTCGGGAGACGTGTCGGCCTTGGACAATGTATACTAGCTCTAAGCAATATCTGGTTGAAGCGCCCACTTACTTCGGTAGGGATTGAGTTCTCTTCGGCGGATCTGTGGTCGAATCACATGGTTGGTGCTGGGGGGGAGGAATAGAAGGAGTGCGGGGCCTTGTGCCGCTCTCCCCCTCCACCCCCCAGCGCTGCCTCAGGTACTCTCTGTGGGCCCCCACTCCGTCCTCTCTCTCGTCTCCCCACCCCCCACCCCCTTTTTTGTTTCTGTTTATGGTCCCACGATGAACAGATTGAGTTTTCAAATGTAAAAGTTTGTGTTAGATTATGTGTATTGCAGGCCCATCGTTCAACATACCCTGTATGAGTGGCCTTACAATAGTTAATTGTAATAGATGGATTGTATATGGCCTATTACTGCTGATCTCAGGAACTCTGAACTGCAAATGCCGTACAGCATGTATAACCAATTATAGGTGTATGTGGTTATTCCTCTGCTTATTGTGTGATGGTACTCCCTGTATATGCACATTGTCTTTCTAAATAGAGATTTATAAAAAAAAAAAAAAAAAAAAAAAAAGGAGTGCATCTACTTAATACTAAAGGGGGTGTATACATACGCAGTCAAAAAGGAGAGAAACTAAATAGTATAAACTGCTCTTCCACTCTTCTTGAATACAATCAGCCCTGCACAGGCATAAAACCTTTCTAATAGGTAAATCAAAGTTACAGCAAACACTACTGCTGCAGCACCAATGCTATAAATTGTAGGAGGAGAACCAAACTGTATGGATACACACAGGATGCACATCCTTGTATGTCAAGGTGTCTCGGCACTCCTGTGCCTACAGCCTCATATTTGTATATCTGCAGTGTAACAGCTAAGGAACTAGTGCCTCTGATTGCTGGTCTCATGAGATTTGGAGTTATGGTCACGTTATTTTTGTATTGCTCCCTGTTCTTCTTGCTGAAATTTCTGACATGAGAATGTAAAGTCAAAATGGCCACCTCCACACAGATACACAGTGTAAAACAAGGCATGGTAAGTCAGTAATGGAAAAGGTTAGCTGTAGAGAGACCACAGAAATAGTGGCAACTAATCCTTTGCCTTCGGCCCTTTGGCTATAATGCACTGTAAGTAACTATTGTGTGTATATTGTGTGTAAAATTGCAATGTTTGCTCTGTATTCAAAGATCGGTTTCAAAGATTAGCCCTATTTAAACATTTGTAAAGAGGATTCACCAGATTCACCCATCAGCAGTCACATACAAGAAAATAAGCTTTTAATAACAACCTTACTAACTATAACAACAAGATTTGCTCATCAGCTACCACATTACACACAGGGCTAAGAAGTCCTCTTTGAAAAGTGATGGAGAAATATGGGGAAAGGTCTGAAAATAATGGGTAAATTAGGTGAGATACAGACTAACCACTTCAGGACAACCTGACATGTACTGCGGATGGCTGACCTATACAGGCACAGTGCCGTACCTGTACGTCGCAGATCTCCTCCATGTACAGGGCTCACAGGAATGCGGCCACCAACTCCTACCGTGATTAAACAAAGCGAGATTTTGGGACCTGCTGATCAGCTGTGATCAATCACAGTTCAAAGCCCTGTGTTGACAGTCAACACAGGGCTAAGTACAGAGGGAATAATCTCTTTGTTTACTTGCAAAGCAGGGAAAAGGAACAGATTTTTAGTAAAAAGCAGCACATAATTCACACATTAATACTTGTTAGGCACACTTAACCCCTTGATTACCATGAGATGTTAACCCCTTCCCAGCCAGTGTCATTACTACAGTGAGTGTACAGTATTAGCATCGATCACTGTATTAAATGTCACTGGTGATGTCAGCTTCTAACCTCAGCTTGTTCAATAAGGCTTGAGCAATAAAACCTGGAAGCCGATTGGTTTCTATGTAAAAGTGAGCCTGATTTTGCACTCTCCGGTTTTAGTAAATAAACCCCTTTGTGTCAATTTGTTCGTCACACTATCACTGACCCTCTATAAGACATTCGTATATATTTTAAAAAAAAATCCAGTAATATAAAAATAATATAAAAACTTACCGCCATTTTTTTTTTTAACCAAAGACATGTAGCAGAACACATTTTACGCCAAATCCCATTTTTTGATAGTGGTGTTTGCGATGACAAGCATCTACTTTGATAACAGTCCCCCCGATAAATATCATTAGATAATTCTGACCCTATTCACGAATAAAAGCTGAAAGCAAAGTTGAAGACCAGGAATTCAACTATTTTCTAAAATACAGACTTACTATGGGTCCAGCAAGGCGTAAGCTGTGGATTTATCACTTATTTCCAACTCTGGGAGTACAGAAGAAATGCTGCTTTTTCTTATACAGCAGCAGCTCTGCTCACCTCTCCTCTCCCCTGTCCATTCACAGAAGGATTTGTATTTTGTTAATGTATTCATACAGCGCTCTGTGATTGGGCCAGAGAGAGGAGAAGCGGAGCAGGCAGAGCAGCTGCATATGAGTCTGTATCTGCAGGAGCAGAGACCAAAAGGTTCAGTGCTGGAAGGATAGCAATACCTATAGTCCTGTGCTCAATAAAAATGTAATTAAATCGATAAGCCCACGAGGTGGTGTATACCTCCTTGGACGTAACCAATAGTAACCCATCACATTTTAAAATGTGGCAGAATTCCTTTAGTTCAGCTTTAAAATATTAACGGCAACTGTAAGCGGGCCAAAATAAAGCTTAGTCAAACATAAGAAGCTGGCTAATTTCACTGTAATATGTTTAACTTGGAACTCACGAATACTAAAATTAGTACTTTACCTTGTCTACACCTTCAGACTCTTTAAACAATACAAAACCAAAGCCTCTGGACCGGCGGTGACTGGATCTAATTTCAAAGTGCAGTCTACAACTTCTCCAAATTTTGAAAAGTAATCCTTTAGATCTTTCTTTGTAGTGTCCCAACTAAGACCGCCAATAAACATTTTCCTGTGAGCAGAAAAAAAAAAAAAAAAAAAAAAAATTATATATACAGTACATTTTATTAAATTCTACTCTAGGTACTAGATTTGCCACAGATGGTGCATTGTACGAAATGTAAACGTCTACATTAAAAAAAAAAAAAAAAAAAAAAAAATTATTCTATCACTGCAGCACAACTATTTATTATGTAACCATTCATCAAGTGTCTTAGACAAATAGAATACCAAAAAACTAAACAGTATTTCATGTGAGATTTAAAACACAAAAAACCCCAGTAATGTTCAAACTTTTTTTTAGCAACATTTAATTTTAAAATTACACTGATAAACTGAAAACCAAACAAAAAAAAAAATGCAAAAAGTGAAAATCATGTACATTCACATCAGCCGCATGATTAAATGATCAATTTTAGCATGCAGCAAGTGTCTACTGTGTAACAGAGGTGTTTTATAATGCAACACACAGTTTATTTGCTGCACATGACCTGGGGTGCTATCCGGTGCATTGTGGAAATATACAGCAATTCCAGCATTGATCCGATGCAAAAAATGCAAGCCACCACATTATGAGGGAGATTTACTAAAACTGGAGCACTCAGGATCTGGGGCAGCTGTGCATATGGCAGCCGTGCATATGGCAATCGGCTTCTAACTTCAGTTTGTTCAATTAAGCTTTGACAATAAAACCTGAAAGCGGATTGGTTTCTATGCAAAGCTACGCCAGATTTTGCACTCTGCGGTTTTAGTAAATCAACCTCTATGTGTAAAAACAAGCAAATATCATTCAGGCGTGTGTGAATAGCTGTACCATCATATCAGATTCCAGATCTAGACAGACATCTATGGTTGCAAATGGCTTTTATTATTCACATATGACTGCAGCATATTCAGATTGCAGAATTCCCTAGCTTGTGCTTGCCTATTCACATTATGGGTGTTAACTGGGTGTTACAGAAACTTTGTAATTGTGTCAGCACAACTGAAACTCATAAGGAAATAATCTCTCTTTGGGTTGCAAGGTACTGGCATCTCAAATAATTTTTAGATTCAAAAATGCCCCCAAAAAACCAGCTGAACCATGTCAGTATATAGTTTTGCATAATGAAAGGTTACTTCATGTGTCAGATTGTCAAGAAAATTAAAGTTTCATTCCAAAAAAAAAAATTGCCCACTGCGGTCTTGAGAGATGAGGGGAAAAACTGGATCTAAACTGAAAACCATAGCAGTAGACTCAGATTTAAAACTGTACAAGAAACTAAATACATCAGGATTTATGATTTGAGAAACCAAAACCTTGCAGGAATATGAAACCAGAACAGCTAGCACTCTTATTTACATTGTCACATGATTTCCTGTGGTCAGCTCTTGAATGGTGCAATTTTTTATTATGCATCAGGAAAACTATGGGGCATAATTGTGGGCTACAAAAAAAAAAAAAAAAAAACTATTCGGTAAAGCACTAATTAGGGTACTATCCTTAATGGACTAATCAGCACAACCGACAGATTTCAAACCTATCAAGAAAAGTAGAAAAAGTTATATTCAGGTCAAAGAATAAATGCCCAACAAACAAGTAACATATCTCTAGAAACAGCTACAGAAGACACTGGTTAACCACTTCCAGTCCGGACACTTTTACCCCTTCCTGACCAGGGCAATTTTCAGCGCTATCACACTTTGAATGACAATTGCGCGGTCATGCAACACTGTACCCATATGAATTTTTTACCTTTTTTGAGACAGGTAAAACTTTAATTTTGGTGGTATTTATTCACCGCTGGGATTTTCATTTTTTTTTGCTATGTAAATGAAAATGTCCAAAAATTTTGAAAAAAAAAAAGGTTTTTCTTATAAAATTTTGCAAATAAATAATATTTCATCATAAATCTTGGCCAAAATTTATTCCATTATCTTTTTAGTAAGAAAAAAAAAAAAAAAAAAGCCTAATTAGTTTATAACCAAAAATTATAATTTTTAAAAAATATTTTTACTATTTTATATTTATTTTATTTTTTTTTTTTCATACTGTCACCCTAGCAGTACAGTGACACTGTACTACTTTTGGGGGGTGATGAAGATTTTTTTTTTTTTTTTTTTACACAAATTACTTTTATACCCATATAGGATGTAAAAGCAATCATTTCTCTTTCTCTCTGGTTGCATTCTTGCAGCCATTGAGAAATACTGAGTGAGCTGTGATTGGTCACCGCTTCTCACATGGTAGAAGGCTGTTGTGAATAGCCTTGTACCATGTGACCTCTGATCACAGATTTCACATGTAGTAAGCAATGATGTCACAAGTAACATCTTGCTTACTACTTTGCATGTGATCACGGATTGGCCAATCAGTGATCACATGATCGGGACCTCATACAGAGGTCCGTCCGACGATCGGTGTTTCACTGTGTCCGGAGGACACAGCAGGCACCGGATCGCGGTGCTGCGCGCTCCCGGGGAGCGCACAAAAGCAGGGTGCGGGGAGGCCATTTATAAACGGCCACCCGACCCTGCAGTGCCACCGTCCGGCCGTTTATATACAACGGCAGGTTGGGAAGTGGTTAAAGTATTCCAATGAAGGTCTCCAAAAATAGAGCTGCTGGAGCTGACGCACATTAAGGCTACTTTCACACTGATCCACGGCAAAAACATGCCACATTGTGTTTTTTACAGGACACGACTCAAACTGCACCAAAAACGCAATGCAGGTGTGTTTTTAACCCCTTGACGCCGACGTAACACAAATATGCGGCCTCACGGACCTGGGCTTTTTTCCGTGGGGCCGCATATTTGCGTACCTGTCTTTGTGTTGGGAGCGCGCCCCTCAGCGCGCTCCCAGCACCGAGACCCGCGGTGTCACTGAGAGCACCACGTCCCGTTCTAACGATCGGGACCCGGGACTCCCTCCCGGGTCACATGATCGCTGTGATAGCCTCTGATTGGCTATCACAGTGATCAGTCAATGTGCAGCCCGGCCCCCTTGTTTTTTTTTTTTCTCTCTCTCTCAATGAATGGAGAAGAGAGATATATTGTATCTCTCGAACTCCTGTCAGAGAGAAGAAAAAAAAAGTTTGTAAAAAAAAAAAAAAAAAGATAAATAAATATTAAAAAAAATAAAAGAAAAAATAAAAAAAAAATACCTAGATCAAGGTTTGATCTAGTTCAGTGCCAGGGTTAGTGTTTAGGTCAGGGTCAAGGTCAAAGGTCAGGATTTTAAAAAAAATTGGTGTCAGTTAGTGTTAGTGTGTTTTAGGTAAAAAAAAAAAAAAAAAAAAAAAAAAAAAAAAAACAAAAACAAAATGCGCACTATGGTTTCTGGGCTGTACTACGGGTACAAACAACAAATAACATACACATATATGGTATCGCTGCGATCGTCAAGAGCTGGAGAATTTATTTTGGGTTGCTGTTTGGGGGTAGGTTATGGTCATAACAAGAAACACACAGCTAAATATAAAAAAAAAAAAAGGATTTTTTTTACTATTTTTGGCCAGTTTTCCTTTGATAATAAAAAAAAAAAAATCAGGAGATATCCATTACCATTTACCACCAAATGAAAGCCCAATTTGTCCTGAAAAAATCAATGTATAATCCACCTGGATGTGCAAAGTAGTTGTGATGATATGTACGGTTTTGCTATCACATGTCAACGGTGCAGAATTGTACTTAGGCATTTAGATTTGTTTTACCCTTAGGCGTGAAGGGGTTAAAGTATTTTCCATTGATTTCAGTGGGGAGCTGCGTTTTTTTAACCACACCAAATATACACCAAGAAGGATTTTAAAAAATGCACCAGACTTGCAATGGATCAGTGTGAAGATGGCTAGTGATACATGGTCACACTGTTTTTTGTTTTTAAAACAAAAGCGGAAGAAAAACAGATCAGTGTGAAAGCAGCCTAAGGATTCTTTGAGGATATTAAAGTTTAATTTTGTGAGGTTGTTCATAATGTAATAACCTTCTTTTCACTATCAAACATACAAACCACTGAGTCAGAACTAAAGCTCTGCAGTCAGCAGGGAGCATGAGCATTGCTGATTAACCACTTGCCTACCGGCACTTATACCCCCTTCCTTACCAGGCCAATTTGCAGCTTTCAGCGCTGTCGCACTTTGAATGACAATTGCGCGGTCGTGCAACATTGTACCCATATGACATTTTTAGCATTTTTTTTTTTTTCCTCACACAGAGCTTTCTTTTGGTGGTATTTACTCGCCGCTATGCGTTTTACTTTTTGAGCTATAAACAAAAAAAAGAGCAAAACATTTAGTGCAGCCGAAAAAGTGCAGCCGAAAACCGGCAATTGCATTTCCCTGTGATCAGCGTGTCATTGGACACGGCTGATCACGTGGTAAAAGGCCGCTGAGATCGCCGGGGGCGCGCAGGAGAGCGCGTTCTGGGAGGACGTCATAGGACGCCCTCCCAGAACTGGCCGGCCACAGTGCAGCCGTCATTCGGCTATCTGCGACTGGCAACTAGTTAAGGAGCACCAACTCTGAATTAGCAGTTAGTGTTGGACCTGTGCAGAGAGATCACTTCTTCCCCACAGGAAGTGGGCAGGCCTTTCCACTGAGGCGGTTTTTAAAAGAAAAACAGACCCTGCATACTTTGTTTTGAGAAATCTGGAATACACATAGTGGATTAGAACTGAAAGTTCAAATCAGTTTTAAATGGCATGTAAGCAGCAATGCCTGGAATTCCTAAGGAGTGTCAAAAACACTGTTTAGAAATGTGTTGTGCCTCTGCAAGCCAAACGTCAGCTCCAGTGACAGATTTGTGTACTTATCAGAAAGTACAATCATGTATTGCATTTAGGCATGGTTGGGGCAGCATCAAGGCCAGAGTGTGCAAACATTCCATACCCACTGCACATTCAGCCCACAGTGACACTGGTTGCTGGGAAGTTGATAGATGTGTAAGTTACAGAATAAGGAATATGTTCCTTATTATACTGCCTTGTTATTCCAGTGGTATAGTAGCAATGTTTTTTTATATAGCAGTCACTAGAAA